AAGCAAATTCATGAGTCATCCTTGAGCATGAAGTTAGGCAATTGTGTGGCTGCACTGTAGGCTGTAGGAGAATTGGCTGAAGTCCATCTTCAGCCATCTTCAAGCTTACCCGATGGCTTTGGGTCTGTCATCTCTCTCAGCCCAACTCGAAAGAGCATGTGCCTCCTTCAGTTCCAGGAGAAAAGGGGGAAATATAAATATTATCAGTGAATCAATGAATAGATAGACAGTTCAAATGGTGGTAGTTTTTAGTGTTATCTTGAATTAAGCCAAAGATCTGTAATGGGCAGAAGGAATAATTTTGAGAAACAGGAGGAAGAGCCTTAAGCAAGACAATGGGCAGATTAAAAGAAACTTGAGCCTGGCCAAGCCCTGTAACTCGAGTAAGCATTTTAGACAAAACCATCCCTAGTTCTCAGGAAGATAAATGGAGGAAGTCGGAAACCTTCAGACTTGGACAATTGTGTAACTATATGCTTATAATTGTGCACGACTTAGGCTTTCTAGTCTGGTCTACCTTGGAGGCTTGGCAAGATCCATCATGGTTCACATGCTAGGAATAATAAGAGAAAGGGCTTTGACTCCAGCATTGTTTTTCCAGTGGCAGATGCAGTTTGACAGTTTCCAGGTGGCCAGTGGCGAGCAGGTACATGTCTCAGTGAAGACCATTCCTCCTGGGATGTTCAAACTCAACCAAAGCTATGCAGTCACTGACAACCAAGCAGGTAAGACAACTTTACAGGGCACATAAACCATGTTTGCATCACCTCATGATAAAGAATCTCCAAATGTATATTTAGAAAACCTGAAACTACTTTTGCTGGACATCAAAAACTTTAGCAATAGTAGTTAGGCTTATATGCTGCTTCATAGAGCTTTACAGCCCTCTCTAAGTGGTTTACAGAGTCAGCATATTGCCCCCAATAATTCTGCATCCTCATTTTACCAACCTCGGCAGGATGGAAGGCTGAGTCAACCTTGAGGCAGTCAGGATCGAACTCCTGGCAGTGGGCAGCCTGCAATACTGCATTCTAACCACTGCGCTCACCACGGCTCTCAGCATAGAGCAGTGATGGCGAACCTTTTAGAGGCCAAGTGCCCAAACCCCAACCCCAAACCCACTTATTTATCGCAAAGTGCCAGGGCATTGTGGTGCCCTCAGGGGGGGCATGGGGATGTGGCCCACTGGGTGGGCGTGTCTGGGGTGGGCATGGCCACCTCGATGCTGCTCATGGGGGGCACGCCTGTGGGGGCCGGGCAGGGTTGGGGGAGATCCAGGGGGTCTCTGGCGGGTGAGGCGGTGGGCAGGAGGTCCAGCATAGATGGGGGGAGGCATGCAATCCTAGCTGGGACTGGGGGGCCATGGTGCCCAGTTATCCGGCTTTCCCTGCTCGGGGTGGCCTTTGGCTTGCTGGGTGTGGGCATGCTCTACCACTTCTACTTGAGCGTGCTAGCTGGCCGTTTCGCCTCCTTTGTGCTGGGTGCGGCTGTTGCCCCGGGTGGCAGCAGCAGCCTAATGGACCTGCGCAAGCTGCTGGCAGCAGCAACACGCATGCTCATAGAGAGGGCTCCGAGTGCCGCCTCTGGCACGTGTGCCATAGGTTCGCCACCACTGGCATAGAGAGTTGCAAAATATTTAGTAAATAAAGAAGAGAAATGGTCAGGAGATCATTGGGAGGTTTTAAACTGGGATAAGAGGGAAAACACCACTTCCAGAACAGAGTACCTGCAGCCAACTTTGAGCTCCCTCTGGTGTGAGCTGATAACAAGATACAGATAGTCCTCCACTTATAACCATTTGTTTAGTGACTGTTCGAAGTTACAAGGGCATTGAAAAAAGTGACTTATGACCGTTTTTCACACTTAGGACTGTTGCAGCATCCCCTGTGGTCACATGGTCAAAATGTAGGCGCTTGGCAACTGGCATGTATTTGTGACAGGTCCATTGTCCTGGGGGGGGTGTCATGTGAGCAAAAGGTCACACCATTTATAACCTTCCCAGCTGGCTTCTGACGAGCAAAGTCAGGGGGAGAAGCCAAATTTGCTTAATGACCACATGATTCCCTTAACAACCGCACTGATTTATTTAACAACTTTGCCCAAAAGATTGTAAAACGAGGCAAAACTCTTAACCAAACAACCGCCTTACTTAGTGTTGGAAATTTGGGGCTCAGTTGTGGACTGCCTGTACAGTCACTGCCATGAAGTCACGTCCTGGGGGGGGGGAACTAGTGGGGCATCTTTGTGCCACAGCAAGGAGGCTGTGTGGTTGTAGCCTCTTGACAATAAGAGACTATTTTGCACAGGAAACCAGAAAAATAAATGAAGCGATATATTTACAGGGGAGACTATTGCTACAAAGCAGACATGTCAAACTCCTGACCCGCGGGCCGGACGCATCCTGCCGAAACCACGCCCACCCCATTGCCGGCAATGGGGGAAAAGTCGCGATACGTCGTGCGATGTCACATGACGTTGCGAGTTTGACATGCCTGCTATAAAGGAACTTGTCATGTGATGAGGCTTAATTTTCTACCCATGTCCCCCTCCTTCAGGACCTGAGTTCCACTACAGATGGGTACCAGCTGCCCGGGCTATTGAGGTGTCTGCTTCCAAGGCCGTCACTGTGCGCCTCTGCCATCGGCTGATGCTGGAATGCACAGAACTGCACCAATCTTTCCATCAGCAGGTGGGATCATAACGGGAGAAAAGTCAAATGCGGGGAACACCCGTGGCACGGGGGATGGTGGTTAAAAGAAAGGGAAACTGAGGCCAGGTGCGTTTCAGGAAGCGAACAATGTTGGTAGAAGTAAATGTTGGAAGCAAACTTTTCTGGCTTGGCATCAGGAACGCCGGAAGGGCAGCTTAGGATGATGTCTGTTGCGACTCACAGTGTTCCTTTCTTCCTTGCTCTCCAAGCTTTTTCCCGTTGCGCCATCTAGGGATGGCCAATCGATGGCTCGTTTCCCCCCTGTTGTTGTTTTTTCCCCAAAAAATACATAGAAAAAAAATCACTTGAACTATTAAACCATAAAACTGCATCACAGGTAGTCTTCGACTTGCAACAGTTCGTTCGGTGACCATTCCGAGTTACAACGTCATTAGAAAGAAAAGTGACGACCATTTTTCACACATACAATCGTTGCAGCATCTCCAGGGTCACGGGATCAAAATTCAGATGCTTGGCAACTCACTCTTCTTTTGCAGTGTCCTGGGGTCGTGTGATTCCCTTTTGGTACCTTCTCACAAACGAGGCCAATGGGAAAGCCAGATTCACTTAACAAACATGCAACTAACTGTCAAGTTTCGAAGCACGGATTTGCTGGTGCGACAAATATTGCTTCTCAGCTTGCCAACTAATTTGGGGGGAGGGAAGAGAGGTTTGGAATGCAGACTTCAAAAATTAAGAAGCCAGACTGTGAGACTCAAGGACGTTACGCCAGGTGTCTGGCCAGACCTAGAGATGCTTTCTCATAACAATATTTTTCTACTTGATTGGGCAACATGACGTAATCCAGAGAGAGGAGGGAGAATTCAATGTTTTTACTATGTGGGCTTGGGAGGGGCCTTGCCAGAGCTGGTTTTGGTTTCACTAGTGCCGAAGTGATGTGCTCAATAAAGTTTTACATTAAGAGATCGGAATGCAAGGTGTTTTTTTGGTTGGGTCCGTCAGTCGGAACCTTGACACTAACTTAAGAACTGCAGTGATTCACTTATCAACTGTGGCAAGAAAGGTCATAAAATGAGGCAAAGCTCACTTAACAACTGTCTCACTTGGCAACAGAAATTTTGGGTTCAGTTAGGGTTGTAAGTCGAAGACCATCTGTAATAGTCCAAATACGGTGGTGAAAATGAATTCTGGAACTCTGAACTTGTTTGGAGGGACTTTTTTTTAATGCTCAATTTATTTTGCTCTATTTTGTCGTCATTGGTGACTCTTGTAAAACTCAAAGTAGAATTTTGCTTATTTGTTTTTTTTTAATGGCTTGTTTTCTGCCAGGTATTGGTTTCCAAACATCGCCCTGCAGTGCTACAGTATGAGTTCCTTCTTCCTTGTCTGTGCATAGAGGTGTGTGCATCGTCTCAAGAGGCTCTGAGTGAGATTCTTTGAAATGGGACAATATGTAAAATTTGGGGGAAGGGATTAAAGAACCCTGCAAAAATTCAGTCTCCTGAGAGATTTCACTAGACTCCTTTGCATATTTATTGATTTATTTATTCATCAACATTATATGGCCGCTCATCTCACCCAAAAATAAGTGACTCTGGGTGCCGTTAAACAAAAATATAGAATGCCTAAACATAAATGCCTGCGTTGGTCTCTGCAGAAGGTGGGCAGATATTATTTGAGGTGCTCTGGACAATTCCCATCCTTGGCCCCACCTGAGGTCAACCACTTGGCCAAGAAATGGGAAGCAGTCAACTTGGATCTTTCTGACTTAGCTTTCTTTTCTGCAGGCATCGCATAACTACAGAGACAGCTTGCGCAAGATTGTGTGTCCATTCCAGGATCAGCCAGAAGCCTGTGAGTTCTGCTTTAGACAAGATTGATGACAGGTTTTTTTTTAATTAATTGGTTGATCGGGAGCTGGGATGCCATAGGTTATGGGAAGAGTTGTTGGCTCACAAATGGCAAATACAGTGGTAGCTTGGGACTCATCGTTAATTGGTTCCCAGAGACACAATGAGTACCAACAATGATGAGTACCAAACTCATTTTTCCTTTAAGACAGACATGTCAAACACAAGGCCCGGGGGCCGGATGTGGCCCGCGAAGTGGTTTCATGTGGCCCACAAAGCCATCCTGGAAACAGTGAGGGAACGGCCCCCGCTGCCTTGGCCCTGGCCCAGGCTGGCCGGAGCCAATGTACAATTTTGTGGTGGCCATCTATGCTGAAATGCATTCAGTCTTAGCTCCACAAGGCCGTCTAGAAACAGCGAGGAAGTAGCCCCTGCCGTGTCACCCCCGCCCCCTGGGTGCATGCTGGGGAGGTGTCACCCTTTGTGAGGAAGGAAGAAATGGACCATGCCTTGGCGCTTGTCCCGGTCCCACCCCCTTCTGCCAGAGACCCTCAGATCTGTCCTACTCCTGTCCAGGCCCCCACAGGCACCCTTGACGTGAACGATGTAGAGCTGGCCATGCCCACCCAGTAGGCCACACCCACTCCATCCACATCCACCCAGTAGGCCGCACCCACCTTGGCCACACCCACCCGGCCCCCCGAGGACAACCGCAATGCTAATGCGGCCCTCAATGAAATTGAGTTTGACACCCCTGCTTTAAGGAATAATGTAGTGAGTCACAAAGTAGCCAACCCCGGCAAATTCTAACTTGTGCGTGACTACTGAACAAACAATGAATACCAGGACAAAATGTTTACATCAAAATGTGCTGAATACCAAATTTGATGAGTTTCAAAGCAGTTGAGTACCAAGGTATCTTATGCCCATACTGTGGAATCCTTGGTGCTCTGAGCTTGGTTGTTTGCTTGCAGGCATTTCATTACCCAACTAGGTAATATCTCCAGTGCTAGGGACAGTGGGATTTGTTTCCTGCTTATATATAATAGTTTGCCCTGCCAGTGTTGATGGGGGTGTGATCCTGTCGTTGACAGTTCCTTGATAAGGGTATTGTTTGCTTGATTTTTGTCTGGTGTTAATCCCTGCTTATATGCATGTTGGCTATGAAAGTGTTTTTGGTTCCTTCTTAGCTTTTTTATTGTCACACTTCAATAGTGGGTAGGTGTGGATTATCTCTTCATGCCCATATCTTAGTGGCCTTTAGAGCCTTGCCGGTTTTTCCTCTCTACTCAGGAAGTCTATTATTTAGCTTGGAGGCAAGAAACAGACTGATGTGATAGCAGGAAACTAGTAATCTGGAATGTAACTGGGAAGACAATAGATCAATATGGAGAACAGGTTTTGTTTTTGTGTTTTTATTAACCTCACCTTTTTACCAGTACCTTGTTGTTCACACATTGTTTATCTTGTTGCAACGAAATATTCATTGGCTAATTTCTACATAAAAACATAGTTTAGAATAATAGTTTAAGGCAGACATGTCAAACACAAGGCCTGGGGGCTGGATGCGGCCCGTGAAGTGGTTTCATGTAGCCCGCGTAGCCATCCTGGAAACAGTGAGGGAACGGCCCCCGCTGCCTTGGCCCTGGCCCAGGACGGCCGGGAGCCAATGTACAATTTTGTGGTGGCCATCTATGCCAGTGGTGGCGAACCTATGGCATGGGTGCCAGAGGCGGCACTCAGAGCCCTCTCTGTGGGCACGCACGCCGTCGCCCCAATCCTAGGCCTTCAGCTGGGTTTTATAAAACCTTTTTGCTTTAGGCCTCCGCCGCCGTGTGCAAAAAAAAAAAGTTCAATCAATCAGTCAATTTCAACTTCTCGCAGGGAAAAAAAAATCTTGCAAAGTTGGAATTGATTGATTGAACTTTTTAGTCCCACCCAGTCTGCCGTTACCACCGCAGCTATGCCCACCCAATGGGCCACACCCACCCAATGGGCCACACCCACCCGGCACCCGACCATGCATAAGTGGGTTTTGGGTTGCAGTTTGGGCACTCGGTCTCTAAAAGGTTCGCCATCACTGATCTATGCTGAAACACATTCAGTCTTAGCTCCACAAGGCCGTCTAGAAACAGCAGGGAACCAGCCCCTGCCGCATCGGCCCCGCCCCCTGGGTGCATGCTGGGGAGGTGTCACCCTTTGTGAGGAAGGAAGAAATGGACCATGCCTTGGCGCTTGCCTCGGTCCCACCCCCTTCTGCCAGAGACCCTCAGATCTGTCCCACTCCTGCCCAGGCCCCCACAGGCACCCTTGACGTGAACGATGTAGAGCTGGCCATGCCCACCCAGTAGGCCATACCCACTCCATCCACGCCCACCCAGTAGGCTGCACCCACCCTGGCTACCCCCACCCCTCGAGGGCAACCGCAATGCTGATGCGGCCCTTAATGAAATTGAGTTTGACACCCCTGGTTTAAGGCACTAGCCTAGGAACCAGGAGACTGTAAGTTCTAGTCTTACCTAATGAAATCTTAATGAGGTCAGCCTGGTGACCTTGGGTCAGTCGCCTTCTCTCAATCCTAAGAAGAAGAAAAAATGAAGTTCTGAAATTATTGCCAAGAAAGCATCATAGACTTGTCTAGGGAGTTGCCTGGAGTCAAGAATGACGTGAAGGCACACACACTGACAAACACACATGCACACACACAGAAACAGAAACCTAAAACACATAAATAAAAATGTACTATGCATAACAGATAAAACTAAACTCTGCCAGATCATTGCCTGATCATTGGCAAACTGAATCAATCAATACTTCACTTCTGTTACAGTTATACTGAATCTCTGGCTTGCTTAATGAATACATATCTTGTCTGTGCTGTAAATGGTCTTTGTCAAGGTCTGAAAATGTTCCTTTTCGTTCTGCTACAGGGGCACTGCGCTTGCTCGGTTCACCAATCAAAAGACAGAGAGTTGTGGTGTTCGAAACAGTTATTTTCAAGTTGTGCTTAGCAAATGTTTGCAGAATCAGTTAGCTAATAAATGGTTAGTTGGCAGTCATTGGCCAGGTTCAAACATCAGCCTTAACGTGCTTTATTTGCTTTAGACTTTCTGAGATTTGTGAACCCAGCCAGTTTATATTTAACAAAATTGTGGCTATTATAAATGTGGAAGCTTAGCTGTTCTCTTTAAATCCAACAGAATTCATGGGACTTTTATGAAGATAAAACAGGATAACTTTACATAATTTCAATCTGTGTTTCTTGGATGAATAACATTCTCTGTGCCAACTCACTGTCGTATAGTTAATAATTAGAACTATTTCAAACATGCTGTAACATTTTAATTTTTCTGGGAAACTATGTAGTATCTTATTTTGTAACTTACCTTACATATAACATGTCAAAAGGGGAAGGAAGGAAGGAAGGAAGAAAGGAAGGAAGGAAGGAAGGAAGGATCATTTTCTCTTCCATATTTATTTCTACCCAAGAGAACAGAGTAGCTACTCAGCTGGGGTAGCTGTAGGTAGGAAATGGAATGGTAGAAACCAACATGTGTTTTTAACAGGTGTTTGTAGGCTTGTTTGTAACTAACCCAAAATCCATTTCCCAAACTCATACTCGCCTTTGCAATTTAGATTATTCTTTGTGGCAGATCAAATGGATTACTACATGCAGGCAGGAGGGAGAAAAGAGTATTTCTAAACAAAACAAAGCTGTTGTCTGGGCTTTCTGGAAAAAGATTGTTTCTCTTGACAAAATAAACACTAGCGACACACCTTACAATATAATACAATATTAATGTCATAGTATCAGAACACAGAGGAGGAACTGAAAAGCTGTCAGAAATTAGTATATATTTAGAAATGTTTAATTCGTTCATTCTTCAATCTATCATATTTATTTATCATGTCATATTTATCAGGTTTAGAGACCATCCATTTCCCTCAAAGAGTAACGCTGGGCAGTATAGAAATAACATAAAAACATAGAAATTGGTTCGTTCGTTCGTTCGTTCGTTCATTCATTCATTCATTCATTCATTCATTCATTCATTCATTCATTCATTCATTCATTCATTCATTCAGATATATTCCCTGCTTATTTTGCTAGATGCTGCAGATCTCTGGTCCTCAGCGTGCTTCCATGACTTCAGTTCCAGTGACAGGACCGAAATGGCCGTGTCTTTGAGTGGCCGCTGCTTCTTTCAGCCCACTGTCTCACTTTGCTGGAAGGAAAACCCTGCTCCAGAGGCAACCTGCCAAGATATCCCCAATTCCACCATCCCTGAAGCCAGCAAGGTGAAGGGACATAGAGAACACACTGAACGGGATGAGAATAACAAGGTTTTGTGACTTGATGAAGGGCAGCCAAGTAGCAAAATGAAGGCCAAGTGATTCTGGGAACTTACTTCCTTAGTGGAGGCCTTAGACTGACCCACTCCATCTCCTGAACAGATAGAAGAAAAAGGTGGAAGGCAGAACGGTGTTTGTTAAGGGAATGTCCTTATCAGGCAGATTCCAAGAGAGCCTCTTTCACCCTGCCATGCTGGCTGAGGAAATGAAAGAGAAGCAGGTGCGGGAAGATCATTCTGAGAGGTTTGTACATTGCACCTCTGGAATTCATTTGACTTATTTTCTTTATTTATTCAGGCTTCTATGCCGTTCCAGGGTGAAGACACCGAGAGTCTTACACTTCCTATTGCAGTAAGTAAGACTAAAAATCCCACAGCTAATCACAATCACATTCCCACCTAATCAGTGCATCGTGTCTGGAAACCTTGGGGCAAAATCATTCCTTTTGGCCAATCTCCAACAGATGGGTCAAAAAAAACCTCTCTGCTCCATGGAAGCGGGAGGGAAGAGGATGACCTTATATGTGGGGGAAGCCTGCTCCACAAGAGGGGCCCTTAGTCTTGTGCACCAGGTCCTTGATGATCACATTCCTTCAAAAGCGGGAGTCTTAATCTGGCTTTTCTTTCCAATCTCACTGGATAGGTAGATTGGCTCAGAGCAAGCAGTTTTGGAGATACCAGGCCTGCGCATGTAGGGCTTCCAAAGTAACAATCGGCATTTTAAATTGCACCCGAGAATTAACCAGTACCAAATGCAGCTCTTGTGTTAGGGATGCTATGTAGATCAGGGGTCCCCAACCCCCAGGGCCACAGCTTGTTCAAAACCAGGCCACGCGGGTGATGGGCAAGCATGTGAGTGGCGGATAAGCGCATGCGTGAAGCCCCACTCGCATGGGTGGTAGGCCCTTGTGCTCGCGCATGAAGTTCCACTTGCAGAAGCAGAGGGCCCTTGAGCGGAGGGTGCTTGTGCTTGCGTTGGAAAGGTTGGGGACCGCTGATGTGGATGAACTCCAGCACACCTATAATTACTAGAACCGCTACATTTTGAACAAGTTGGAGAAAAAATGCAGCCAGACGCTCCTGATTTTTAATAACATCTGGAGGCAGCATAGTCCCCATTCTTAGTCCTTGTAAATATAGTAATAGAAAGATTTGCTGATTGAGTTTGCTTTACCAACGTTATTAAGAGGCAAGAAGGACTTAATTTCACAAAGAAATTATGGGTTCTGAGAGAGAGAGGGAGAGACAGAGAGAGAGAGAGAGACAGAAATAGAAAGAAAGAGATGATCCCTTCCATTGTCCTAATATGTAGTTCTTACTCTAGGCGTACATCATTAAAAGCGTAGATGTGAATCCACAGCTCTGCTTCAAGGTAAGAGATCCAGCTACATACAGACACCCATCACATCCTTACAAGATAGTTGCCGCTTAAGAACTGAGTTACTATGATGTATTACAAGTCTAATGAAAGCTCTTGAATTTTTAAGGTACAAGCATACAGTGAAAGCAATGAACTTTATCTAGTTTAGATGCTGTTGAAGATTGTATCTGTGCTGTTATGAAAGTACACAGCCATGATGCATGTATATACGCCAGTTGCGCCCCTTTCTGGATCGGGATGCCCTACGCACAGTCACTCAAGCCCTCGTTGTTTCCCGCCTGGACTATTGCAATGCTCTCTACATGGGGCTCCCCTTGAGGTGCACCCGGAGGCTCCAGCTAGTTCAGAATGCGGCTGCGCGGGGGATTTTGGGGGCCTCTAGATACTCCCATGTAACACCTCTCCTGCGTGAGCTGCACTGGCTGCCGGTGGCCTTCCGGGTGCGCTTCAAGGTGTTAGTAACAACTTTTAAAGCGCTCCATGGCAATGGACCTAGGTATTTGCAAGACCGCCTCCTACCAAACACCTCCCTTCGACCAGTCCGCTCCCACAGAGAGGGCCTTCTTAGAGTGCCGTCGGCCAGANTAATAATAATAATAATAATAATAATAATAATAATAATAATAATATAGGGAGTCCTCGACTTACGACTTGTTGCTTAGCAACTGTTTGAAGTTATGGTGAACCTCCTTGTGGGGGGACTTACAACCCAGTTCCAAAGTTCCAAGGTGACCCTTCCCACCGCGATCATGTTGGGTCTTCGGCAACTGGCCCGCATTTACAGCTGTTTGCAATGTCCCACAGTCACACGACCCGCATTTTGTGAGAGTTTTGTCAAAAAATGACACTTACTTCCATTTTTCGGCAAAAACAGCCCATAGTGAACTATTGGTTTATTTAATGATCGCTGCAAAAAGGTCATAAAATCAGGTCAGTCATAACTTATGATTGTGAGGGGCAGACTGCACTAAGGCAGGGGTGTCAAACTGCCGGCCCGTGGGCCAGATGCGTCACGGCGAAACCGTGCCCACCCTATTGCCGGCAATGGGAAAAAAAGTCGCGATACGTCGTGAAACGTCATGTGACGTTACAAGTTTGATACCCCTGCATTAAGGCTATAAATTGAGGACCACCTCTAAAGCAAAATGCGCCATTCCAAAGGAAAATTACTCAGCGCAAACTACGTCTTTGTAAATCTTTGATACTTGGTAAACAGTCATCAAAAAGTCTTTTAAAATGTATCTGTCATACATTTACAGTATAGAAATCTGATTGTTGTAGTTATCCGGAGTTATATTGTATAAGAAGGGGGCCATGTAAGTCTTTTAAATAAAGAAGCAAAATAAATAAAAAAAGCATAGAAAGTTTCTCCAAGGACAATAGACAATAGCAGCATATAATATGCATATTTATTTAAAATTCTGTTGATTATCTCAAGTAGTGTTAGAAGATGATGATGTGATACCTCTAGAAAGGTTGCTATGGGCTACGTCTGCATGACTACAAATGACTCAGTCCTTAGAAAAAATACCTAATGTAGGGATTGCTAATATGTTATCTGCAAGGTACCTCTGCTTTGCCTACATACCTGTGACTTCCCAAATTGAATTAAAATAGAAATGATGGCAAATCACATTAGATCTTTTTTGATCTTGTATGAGATGTCATGAGAGTTTAAGTTAAAATACACGAGGTCCAGTGAGATTTTGGCAAAGTTTAATTTTTAAAACAATGTTATTATTACTGGTTGAATTACAGATTTCCCTCCCCCCATAAATTATAGTAAATCATCATTTCTAGAAGTCTTTAAAATCAAGTTAAATAGGCTGCATCCTTCAGGCAATAATTAAAACACTTACTATAGCTCAGTCCTTTGATTTAGGGCAGTTCCTCATTCTAGTTTGTATGACAAATATTTAATGAAGAAAGGTATGAGGTTAACAGGAGGACTTAATTTTTTTTGAGTATTAAATCTGTGTAAATATTAACTGCAGGGTTTTATATGATGAGTCACAACTCAATGATTTATCTTTTTTAGTTTTCTTACATGAACAGCAGCCACATTGAGTGCCCACGCCAGACAGGTGAGTCTACCTAAGTCACAATGCGAACCTCTATCTTTGTTTTCAGGGAGAGACCCTGGGATTAATGATGAATCTGTACCTGTTGAATTGAATGAGTTTATTAGGATACCAAGCCCCTCATTCAGGAATATCAATTTCTTTGTACTGTTCTTCTGAATAAACTCTTAATGAACATCATATCTTCACAATTGGTACTCGTCAGCTAATGAACCTTTGTGATTACAAGCCATTGCTTTGTAACCTGCTACTGTCTGGATTCTCTTTGAGTATCTCTAGCCTGTGGTCTGCCCATTCAAATTTTCTTTGCAAATGCCTAGTAGAGGGGTCTTCAAACTTGGCCCTTTTATGACTTGTGGACTTCGTCTCTCAGAATTCCTCAGCCAGCTTGCCTGGCTGAGGAATTCTGGGAGTTGAAGTCCACAAGTCATAAAAGGGCCAAGTTTGAAGACCCCTGGCCTAAAGCAACTCTGAGAGTTTATTCCTAAGTAATGGTTTGCAATAATTAATAGAGACAATTTTTATTTAACCGCAACCATAGCTTCCGAGGTGTAGCCTTAACATTAAGACTATGTTCTGGGATTTCCATCCAATCCTGGTTAAAAGGAAAAACTAGAGTGCTTCATAAATTAACGGAGGAATAGAATCAAGATCACGTGAAGTATTAATACCACTTTACAATGCCTTGATAAGGCCACACTTGGAATACTGCATCCAGTTTTGGTCACCACGATGTAAAAAAGATGTTGAGACTCTAGAAAGAGTACAGAGAAGAACAACAAAGATGATTAGGGGACTGGAGGCTAAAACATAGAAGGAACGGTTGCTGGAATTGGGTATGTCTGGTTTAACGAAGAGAAGGACGAGGGGGGACATGATAGCAGTGTTCCAATATCTCAGGGGCTGCCACAAAGAAGAGGGAGTCAAGCTATTCTCCAAAGCACCTGAAGGCAGGACAAGGAGCAACGGGTGGAAGCTAACCAAAGAGAGAAGCAACCTAGAACTAAGGAGAAACTTCCTGACAGTTAGTACAATTAACCAGTGGAACAACCTGCCTCCAGAAGCGGTGAATGCACCAACACTGGAAGTTTTTAAGAAGAAACTGGACAGCCATTTGTCCAAAATGGTATAGGGTTTCCTGCCTGAGCGGGGGGTTGGACTAGATGACCTCCAAGGTCCCTTCCAACTTTATCATCATCATTATTATTAAATGGATCATGCTACAGGTCTGTCCATTTTGTACATATCACAACCAGATGTGGGGCGAATGGTTCTGTGTTGTATACTGCAAGTTGCAATCAATGAATGGAATTTTGTGATCTGAATCCAGTGGTAGGATGCTAAGCAGGGAGATTAACATTTTCACAATTTCCAGTTAGATGTGATAGTAGTTTTCGACGTGAAACTTTAAAGGATATAAAATGAAATGCTTATTTGCTTTGAAAGACCTTTTGGTCTTCAAGGTGCATAGTGTATGTACAGCTATAACTGAACAGGAGCAGAAGGTAATGTTATCAGAAAGACGGGTAGCACCAGCTCACTACCTCCAGGAAGATTGGTAATTGGAAAAAATGTAGAAGTAATCAAAAAAGGGCAGATTTCAAACTTATAAGATCTGGGGGTTTGTTTGAAAAAAAAAGTCCAAGATTTAGGCATTAAGATGAACTCAGCTATTTATTTTTAAAATCAGACCTGATTGCTCAAGTCTTTCACATAAAAAAAACTTGCCTCATTCCTCTGTTGTGAAGTATTTCTTCATTTCAGCAATATAATCTGGGCCAGAACGAGTGAGAAACATTGACTTGTTAATATTCAAACCTTTGGGAAACATGATCTTCTAGAACAGTGTTTCTCAACCTTGACAATTTTAAGGCATGTGGACTTCAACTCCCAGAATTCCACAGCCAGCATTGCTGGCTGTGGAATTCTGGGAGTTGAAGTCCACATGCCTTAAAATTGTCAAGGTTGAGAAACACTGTTCTAGAAATCAAAGCAAAAAGTCAGATCTGCTCTATATCATTGGTTGTAACCATCACACTGCCTTATACGGAGCCTGCATCATTCATCGATCTAGCCCAGTGATGGCGAACCTTTTAGAGACTGAGTGCCCAAACTGCAACCCAAAACCCACTTATGCATCGTCGAGTGCCAGGTGGGTGTGGCCCATTGGTAGGGTGTGACCAATTGGGTGGCCGTGGCCCATTGGGTGGGCATGGCTGCGGTGGTAACGGCAGATTGGGTGGGACTAAAAAGTTCAATCAATCAATTCCAACTTTGCAAGAACATTTTTTTTCCCGCAAGAAGTTGAAATTGACTTATTGAACCTTTTTTTTTTTTTTTGCACATGGCGGCGGAGGCCTAAAGCGAAAAGGTTTTATAAAACCCAGCTGAAAACCTAGGACTGGGGCGACGACACGCGTGCCCACAGAGAGGGCTCTGAGTGTCACCTCTGGCACCCGTGCCATAGGTTCGCCACCACTGATCTAGCCTATTTCAATGTTCCCAACCTGTTATCTTCCAGATATGTTGAATGTCCGTTCTCTTAATTCCCAGTCAGCAGGATCTAGCTAGCTAGAGATAAAGGAAGTTAAAGTTCATCATATCAGGTCTATATCCTGGGCTTGGAAAATTAGTCTACCCAAGTAGCAGCAGCTCTCTGAAAAAGTAAACTTAATTTATTTTCCCAGGAGATATTCAAACCTAGCATTGGTGCTCCACAACTGGGATCATGACCTTTGTACATAACCTCAATGAATTTTAGGGAGTTCTTAAATATGAAAAAAAATTACTGGATAAGTGAGAAGTATAGGTAGTCCTCAACTTATGACCACAGTTCAGCCCAAAATTTCTGTTGCTAAGAGAGACAGTTGTTAAATGAGTTTCATCCCATTTTACGACCTTTCTTGCCGCAGTTGTTAAGTGAAACACAGCACTTGTTAAGTTAATAACACGGTTGTTAAATGAATCTGGCTTCCCCATTGACTTTGCTTGTCAAAAGGTTGGAAAGGTGATCACATAACCTTGGGACACTGCAACCGTCATAAATAGGGACCACTTGTCTGAATTTTGATCATGTGACCATGGGGATGCTGCAACTAACTATGAAAAATGGTCATAAGTCACCTTTTTCAGTGTTGTAACTCTGAAAGGTCACTAAATGAATGGTTGTAAGACAAGGACTATCTGTATTTAATTCTGCATGCATACAGAGTCTTCAGACACAGGATTCCGCAAAACAACAAAAGTTGAAAAGACTCAGAATCCTCGGTGTAGGTGAATTTGTTAATAACCTCAGTGTCAGTACATTTATCACTTACAAGTAGTCCTCGACTTACAACAGTTCATTTAGTGACCGTTCAAAGTTACAATGGCACTGAAAAAAGTGAATTATGACCGTTTTTCACACTTACGACCTTTGCAGCATCTCCGTGATCAGGTGATCAAAATTCAGATGCTTGGCAAATAATAGCAGCAGTAGCAATAGCAATAGCAGTAGCAGTAGCAGTAGCAGTAGCAGTAGCAGTAGTAATAATAATAATAATAATAATAATAATAATAATAATAATAATAATAATAATAATAATAATAATAATAATAATAGAGTTGGAAGGGACCTTGGAGGTCTTCTAGTCCAACCCCCTGCTCAGGTAGGAAACCCTATACCATTTCAGACAAATGGCTGTCCAGTCTCTTCTTGAAAACGTCCAGTGTTGGAGCCTTCACCGCTTCTGGAGGCAGGTTGTTCCACTGGTTAATTGTTCTGTCAGGAAGTTTCTCCTTAGTTCTAAGTTGCTTCTTTCTTTGGTTAGCTTCCACCCGTTGTTCCTTGTCCTGCCTTCAGGCGCTTTGGAGAATAGCTTGACTCCCTCTTCTTTGTGGCAGCCCCTGAGATATTGGAACACTGCTATCATGTCCCCCCTCGTCCTTCTCTTCATTGAACTAGACATGCCCAATTCCAGCAACCGTTCCTTATATGTTTTAGCCTCCAGTCCCCTAACTGGTTCAGTCCCCAAACTCCACTTCCCTTATGACCGTTGCTGTGTCCCCAGGTCTCATGATCACATTTTACGAACCTCTGGCAAGCAAAGTCAATGGGGAAGCCAGATTCACTTAACAACCGGGTTGCTCACTTCTCAATTGCAATGGTTCACTTAACAACTGAAGCAAGAAAGGTTGTAAAACAGGGCAAAACTCACTTAACACATATCTCACTTAACAACAGAAATCTTGAGCTCAATTGCGGCCGTAAGTCGAGGGCTTCCTGTATAGTATACTTCTCCTCAAAAGATTGGAAATAATAGGGCATTGACTGAAGAATGAACACAAGCGACTTTGTTCTTTCTTTCTAGATACTACCTGGAATGTCTCTCTCAATGAGAAATTCCTGCAACTTCACTTAAACTTCCGTTCTCGCACACCAGCTTCCTTTAGTTCAGCCTTATGCCAGCCGGTATCTTCAAGCCACTGCAGACCTGAACCATCTGTCTATACCATCACCCATGTAAGTGACTCCCGGTCTCAAGAGGAGGAATTTGAGGTAGTTTCCAGAAATATCTCAGTCATGACTATTGGGTGAGGAAAGCCTAAAATATGATGTTCTACTTGACATGGACGCGGTAGCAGAGGAAGGACACGGTAGCAGAGGAAGGATGGATTTAATTCAAGATTATGTTTTGCAGACGGGGGGATCTGCCTTGGGGGAGCTGAACCTCATTCTTCCTTGGACAGCCCTGACAAGTTGTGTACTGGTAAGGACCAGCTTACCTTCTTCCATCACTTAGCAATTAATTAAGGAAGGAATCATTCCTTAGTGAAATTTTTTAGTACAGGGAGTCAATTAAAGGTAGTGTCAATATTCCGACAGAGGAAACTCTTCAAAGAACTTTGAGGCATTGTTTACCTTAAAGAATCTTTATTTGAGCAGCATAGCATCAGCACATAAGCGAAGCCAAAATCTGGATTTCCCCTCCCCTTAGCACATAGTATCAAACACAATTCCCTCCTCTAATTAACAGTCATAAATCACATTCTCCAATTAGTTTGAAATGCAGGCTTTCCCTCCTTTACTCCAACCCGCCATTTCTTATCATCTCTTATTTCAAAAGCCCTGAGTTCACGCACTGTCTAAATAATTCCCATCACATTCCTCCTCCTCCCCCAGTATCATCTAATTCTAAGAGTAAAGCATAAGAAAGAAAAAGGCTGCATCTCCATGTTGTCAAAGCAAGAACATCCAATGTTAGCAGCATTGACAGGTTGTTTAGTGAGGAATTGTGACTGGCAGCTGGGCTGTTAAGCAAAGCAGTCGCTAAGTGAAAATCACATCACCTGGATGTTATGGGTTTTGTTATGATTACGATTTTATTTCAGTTTTCCTTTTGCTTCCGCTATTTCCCTCAGGAGAACTGGGGGTTCTTTCTCTCTGAGGACATCTCGGTACGGGGTGGATAAGCAAGTGAAAATAAGAGCAGAGAGAGAGACACTGTGAACGTCACAAATGCAGGGACTAATGGCTGGGTCATTTTTTTAGCACTGTTGTAACTTTGAATGGCCACTATAATAATAATAATAATAATAATAATAATAATAATAATAATAATAATAATAATAATAATAATAAAGTTGGAAGGGACCTCGGAGGTCATCTAGTCCAACCTCCTGCTCAGGCAGGAAACCCTATACCATTTCGGACAAATGGTTGTCCAGTTTCTTCTTAAAAACTTCCAGGGTTGGTGCATTCACCGCTTCTGGAGGCAGGTTGTTCCACTGGTTAATTGTTCTAACTGTCAGGAAGTTTCTCCTTAGTTCTAGGTTGCTTCTCTCTTTGGTTAGTTTCCACCCGTTGCTTCTTGTCCTGCCTTCAGGCGCCTTGGAGAATAGCTTGACTCCCTCTTCTTTGTGGCAGCCCCTGAGATATTGGAACACTGCTATCAAAGGTTACAGGTAGTCCTCGACTTACAACCGCAATGGGGGACCAGAAATTCTGTTGCTCAGTAAGGAGGTTGTTAAGTGAGCTGTGCCCAATTTTACGACGTTTTTTCCCACGGCTGTAAAGCAAATCACTGCAGTTGTTAAGTGAATTATGCAATCGTTAAGCGGACCTGGCTTCCCCCCCATTGACTTTGCTTCTCGGAAGCCATCTGAGTATGGTTTGCAAATGGTGACCAGGATGCTGCAACCATCATAAATTGTTGCCAAGCCCCTGAATTTTGATCCTATGACCTTGGGGATGCTGCAGTGGTTATAAATGCAAGGACTGGTCGTAAATCCCTTTTTTTCAGTGCCCTAACTTTGAATAGTTACTGAACAAATGGATCCAAGTCGAGGACTGCCTGCATCTGCAAATTAGCTAACAAATTAGCTAAGCAACGGGTGGAAACTAATCAAGGAGAGAAGCAACCTAGAACTAAGGAGAAACTTCCTGACAGTTAAAACAATTAACCAGTGGAACAACCTGCCTCCAGAAGTGGTAAATGCTCCAACACTGGAAGTTTTTAAGAAGAGACTGGACAGCCATTTGTCCAAAATGGTATAGGGTTTCCTGCCTGAGCAGAGGGTTGGACTAGATGACCTTCAAGGTCCCTTCCAACACTACTACTACTACTACTACTACTACTACTATTACTACTACTACTACTACTACTATTATTATTATTATTATTATTATTATTATAAAACTTGATAAGAATAAAATGCCAGATCAACGGGAGCACCGAGGTACACATTAACACATTTCATCCCTATGCAGGTAGTTCTCGACTTACGACCGCAACCGAGTCCAAAATTTCCGTTGTTAAGTGAGACATCTGGGAAGTGATTTTTGCCCCATTTTAACGACCTTTCTTGCCTCAGTTGTTAAGTGAATCACTGCAGTAACCCGGTTGTTAAGTGAATCTGGCTTCCCCACTGACTTTGAGTATCGCAAAAAGGGGATCACGAGACCTTGGGACACAGCAACGGGTCAATAAATATGAACCAGTTGCCAAGCATCTGAATTGTGATCGCGTGATCCTGGGGAGGCTGGCAAAGGTCGTAACCGTGAAAAACGGTCCTAAGTCACATTTTTCAGTGCCGTTGTAACTTTGAACGGTCACTAAATGAACTGTTGTAAGTCGAGGACTATCTGTACTGAGTTCCACTGTCCCATTCCACCTCTTTTTTTTTGTTTTGTTTCATTTGTCAGGTGTGGCGTTCTGATGTACAGTTTGCTGGCAAGCGACTTCTGTGTCCAGATGGTAAGTTACAAGACTGTCCCGTGAAGAATAGGGTAAATAAACAGGAGGCTGTGTGATCTTATTGTGAAAAATGTCCATTATATTGTGTCTTCTGTGGTGCTTCTTGGGAGGTAGAGAGAGCACTCCTGGGTCTTCTCACCGGAGTTATGTCTTGCTCAAATATTTTGAAGAAATTCCAGATCTTAAAGCAGGGGTGTCAAACTCAATTTCATTGAGGGCTGCATCAGCATTGTGGTTGCCCTCAGGGGGCCTGGTGGGTGTGGCCAAGGTGGGTGCGGCCTACTGGGTGGGCGTGGATGGAATGAGTGTGGCCTACTGGGTGGATGTGGCCAGCTCTACATCGTTCGCGTCAAGGGCGCCTGTGGGGGCCTGGGCAGGAGTGGGACAGATCTGAGGATCTCTGGCAGAAGGGGGTGGGACCGGGGCAAGTGCCAAGGCATGGTCCACTGGAGGAGCCTCATTGTTCCTCTCAGGCCTTGCGGGGGGTGAGGGGGCTTATGGAGCTAAGACTGAATGCATTTCAGCATAGAGGGCCACCACAAAATTGTACATTGGCTCCCGGTTGGCCTGGGCCAGGGCCAAGGCAGAGGGGGCCGTTCCCTCACTGTTTCCAGGATGGTTTCGCGGGCCACATGAAACCACTTCGCGGGCCGCATCCGGCCCCCGGGCCTTGTGTTTGACATGTCTGTCTTAAAGAAACAAGCTAGAGCAGTGGTGGCGAACGTATGGCACGCATGCCAGAGGTGGCACTTGGAGCCCTCTCTGTGGGCACACGTGCCATTGCCTTAGCCTTGCCTCCCCCCGCGACCCCCTCACCCGCAGCCCCCCGGAGGAGAGTTGCCCCCGAGCATGGCCCACATGGGGCAGCACAGCCAAGGACATGGCAGCCAGGCAGCGTAGACAAGACTCCGCCCTTACGCCCCATCGCGCACAGTTGATGCTGTGGGGTGCAGGCAGAGGGCGTGGCCGCCATGGCGCTGCTGGGCTGCCTGGGTGATCTGCGGTGGACCCTGGAGGCGGTGAGTGGCCCTGCGGGCAGGCAGGGTAGGGGCGTGGGGCAGGGCCAGTTTTTGGGCACTCAGTCTCTAAAAGGTTCGCCAACACTGAGCTAGAGGATTTATGGAAGGGTCGACAATGGTGGTTCAAACCAATGAATGAAAGCATTAGGACATTCCTGAGAAAGCAGAATGACATGATTAATGATAGCAATCTGAGGAATTACTAGCATTCCTTTCTCTCTCTGATGGCCACAGGAAGAAATGATATGACAATCTCAATTAAAGATTAACAAGGGAAAGCACAGATAAAAATGTTGCAATGAAGGTAGCAGATCCATTTTCTCCTGTTCTTGTTTTTCCAACCTTACATTCAGTCCACCCTGTTTCCCTACGAGTTTGTAAGATTTTATTTAAAGTGGGCGCTATGATTCCAACCTTGTATCATGTAAAATGGATGGTTTGATTAAAAAATTGCCTAGTATGAAAATAACGAATCAGATTTATTCCCCTAATGTATTACACAAGAAAGGGAAATAATTATGCTGCAGAATTCAGAAGTGTCCTTTTCAAAACATACCTGAGTTCTGTCTGTGTTCAGCCAATCAACCAGTCATTCTTTGGTTATCCCAGTGTTTTTTCAAACTTGGCAACTTTAAGATGTGTGGACTTCAACTGGTTGGGGAATTCTGGGAGTTGTAGTCAGTGGTGGGATTCAAATATGTGAACAACGGGTTCTCTCTGTGGATGCCGCTTCCGGAAGTCCATTCTGGGCCTGGGCAACAAAAAAATTAGCTACCGGTTCTGCCGAAGTGTTGCGAACTGGCTGAATCCCACCTGACAGGCCCAGATTGGGGAAAAGTGATAAGTAGGAGATAACACATGAATACATTTCTGCAGAAATGCACGGGTGATCAAGAATTACTTCCTGTAGCGATTTTACATCGCTTTCCTTCAAATTTCTTTTTCTGCTAGTTTCTCAACGACGCTGGGGGTTGCTGGCCTTTGCTGTAGTTTTGGGCCTGGGATTGTTGGCTTTGGCGATCTTCCTGATTCACTGGAATATGCACAAACTCCGTAGAGGTAAAAAGCATCAGAAGAACTGGTTTATAATGGGTGTGGGTGGAAAAAAGGGGATTCTATACTTTTACCCAGGGGTAGTCAACCTTGGCTCTTTTATGACTCGTGGACTTCAACTCCCAGAATTCCTGAGCCAGCTATGCTGGCTCAGGAATTCTGGGAGTTGAAGTCCACGAGTCATAAAAGAGCCAAGGTTGACTACCCCTGCTTTTACCGATCTCAAGCAGCGAAACAGAACATATTATTTTGCAGCAGAGCCCTCTCAATTTCATCACTGGAGGTCTCCAAGAAGAGACTGGACAGCTATTTGAGCAGGGAGTTGGACTAGAAGACCTCCAAGGTCCCTTCCAACTCATCCCGACTCTTGAGAAATTCAGGCTCCTACGGTAGTCAGCCAGAAGGATAATAAACTTTTTGCAACATGCATACACCTGATACACATTTAATGCTAAATGTGGCTGGTTTGTTGTATTTGGTCATTAGCCCAATACAAGCAGCCCTTGGTTGGTCACTTAGTGATCGTTTGAAGCTACAACAGACTCTTTAAAAGAATACTTACAACCAGCATTCAAAGTTCCCATAGCAAACTATGCTTAATGACCCTGGCGTTTGCTTAATGATTGTGGCAAAAGAGAGTGTAACATTGGTTGTGGTCATATGACTCACTTAATCACGGTCATGACTTAAAAACCAAAATTGCACACTTGTAATTACACTTGTAAGTCGAGGATTACCAGTATGCAGATCTGCTGATCAGGGCTTATTATTATTATTACAGGATCTTGAGACATGTATATTCGCTTAGTATTACATATAGAACAGTCCACACTAACTTGTTCAGTAATCTGTATTTTAAACACTGTCAGAGTGCTGGTTTAATGTTGTATCTACATCGATCTACAGTGTTAATAAAAAAAAACACAAGCAAACTAAAATGGAACATGTACTGGGGACAATGGCATAGAGAGAAAGACTAAAAAGAAATGAATTTGAATTGATTCAGGTGCATGTACATACTTTAAGGAATTATTTCTGAGGCTTCCAAATGTGGATTATTAAAAAAAAAGAAACTCTACCTTTACCGTGTGTCTTGTCTTTGAGATAAATATGTGAAATGCAAGGTCAAATCAAATATCTCATTACAGTCTTTGACTAGCCTTTACAATAAAAGAGTATAGTATAAAAGAGAAATAGTTTAGCACAACAATTTGTTGGGGAAGTGAAACAATGTAATAGGACAATAAAACAACCTCGCTAATTAAACGTTTTGGAAGATCAGTTGTTCCTTGGCAGGTTATTAGATTCCAATAAAAAAAAAGGACCCAAGATCCTGTAAGAAGCATCCCTCATCCCTTTCATTTCTGTTCTCTTCCAGATGCGCCCGGCCGGCACCATTCTTGTCCCATCCTGCTGATCTATTCTCCTGATTCAGAGGAACACAAACAGTTGGTCTGCTCCTTTGCTGCATTGTTGAGGTCGGCGCTGGGCTGCCCTGTGCTTTTGGACCTCTGGGAGTTGGGCCATGTGGGACGACTTGGCATCTTGCCCTGGGTGTATGCCCAACGGGAACTCGTGGGTCGCAAGCAGGGCCAGGTGCTACTGCTGTGGAGTGCGGGCAGTGCCCGCGCTTACGGACTCTGGCAAGGAGAGGCAAGTAGCCATGGTAGGAAAGCTCCAGAGCCCTATGACCTCTTTGGGGCAGCCATGGCCTGTCTACAAAGTGAACTTCAGGGTGTGTCTGGAACAGTCCAGCAATGTGACTGGGTCATTGCCTATTTCAATAAACTGTGCGACCGGCGGGATATTCCACGTGCTCTGCGCCTTCTTCCCCGTTACCGCCTGCCTCAGGACCTGCCAGACCTGGTTGGGGTCCTGCAGGGCAACTCCAGCTCAGGACCCAGCTGGCTCCATGCTAGCGCCAAGGCCCTTGTTTGCCACCTGCTCAAAGCCGAGAAGAAGAGGAGCTCACGGAAGCAGCGGAATCAACCGTGGAGCAAGAACGTCAAGAGACTGGAGGAATCCCTGTTCCCCCTCGCTCAACTCAAGGTGCACAGGCCAAGCTGCACTTGAGAGAGGGCTATGGACTGAGGGTGTATTGCAAAATGGGATCGGTCCCACTGGTTATCCGTAGGCAGAAGTTATTCCTTGGGCCTCAGAAGGATTGGCTTCCTTATGGTGCCTGTGAAATGGCACCTGTAATGGCATCTTGGCCGGTAATGCCACTGCCAAAAATGCAAAGGAAGGGGTCCAAGCTCAGCTAAACGTGTAAAGCAGAGAGATTACTCTGGTTGCCGGAGAGCCCCCCCTCCATCACCTGATGGTCATGGCATCTGTTGCCATAGAGACGGCAGGGTACTGCAAAGAGGAGGTCATGTTGCCTTGCTGTTGAAAGCAGGATGGTGCAATATGAATGTTGTGGGCAGGTGTGTGTGTGTGTGTGTGATTCACAGGTGCTGCTTCCTAGCCAATTCCTCCTGGAGGATGGTAAGCTTGTCAAAAAGCAGCCAGGTTAGGCCCAGGGAAGAGAGGGCCTTGTTGCAAGCTAGATGGACTAAATGGAGAGACTGAATTCTTGCTTTGTTCACTATCCATCACTTCAGGACTCTAACCCACAGAAGGTGGAGAACATCTCTGACATCTTTCAGAATGTTCTTTCCCCCCCCAAAAAAAAACATGGGTCCCTAACATTTCTACTTGTGGAGATACAAAGACCAGCACGAAGTCTGAAGATAGTGATCTCCTAGATAGTACACTAAGAGTCATTCCCCACTGTTGAGTGGAGATTCTCCAGCATGATTGGATGGAGAATTCACCAATGGGTTATCTTAACCTTCCTGCTCCAATCGTGACTAAGTCTGAGTCTATAAATATCAGTACCACGCCCTGTGCTCCCCAGTTTTTTCGACTTAGTCTTCATGCTCCAGACGCTTTAAAGAAAGAACTTTAAACTTTATCAACAATCTATCTACAATTGATCACATTCAACAAGAAAATAAACTTATAACAGAATTGGAATCCCCAGGGGGACCGTACCAGGGAGAGGACTCCTCTGGACCCCTCTGCTTGGATTCCTCACTCAGAGACGGCCGACCTAGGTGCTAGCAAAAAGCTATGCCAGCAGGGAATTAGCTGTTCCCGTTACCAATCCCTATATCCCAATTCTGTCCCCCCATCAGTGCAGTCTCCTGACTCCCGTCAAGGAAATGGGGTAACAAAGCCCAACAGATGTTATGCAGCTTAGAACTGCTCTGGAGGGGGTCAGAATAGGTGGGTAAACACTATCTGAACACCAGAACAGCTGAAGAAGAGATAAATCTTCTAGCTAGAGAAGTTAAGCCTTTTTACTCATAAGCTAGGGACAGCAGCGGGAAGGGGATATCCCAGAACAAAGGTTATTGTCAGAGTGTGTTTTTGCTGTGTGCAAGTGGGAAAAAGGACTTACAAAGTCATACAATTAGGTGAATGTAAATGTAATCAGCCACCGGCTTGCCTCGCTTTGACCACTCCTGTTTCCAAACCAGCAAAACAGGCACGTTGCTAAGAGAGTTGTAAGAGATCTTCATTTTGTTTTGTGTGTTTAATCGGCTGAGGTTCTTTGTTGCTCAGGTCCTACATCTGTTCTTGGTGCTGCTATCTTGGTATACAATAATAAAGATGATTTTTAAAGGAAATTCAGAAAGGCAAAGGGCACTTTTCTGCTTTAGTTATCTACAACACTGCACTGACGGTCTCTTAAAAAGTAGAAACCTTGATAAACTAAAGTCACCATGCTTTATTGAAAAGGATTTCTGTGCCTCATGACTTTGAAAGTAAGCTTGCAGGGTTGTTTTTTTTTTTGAAGAATAACCCCCTGGTGGAAGGGTTGTCTCTGTCATTCCATAATGCAACTTTAGCCAACTTGTGGCCTTTCAGATATGTCGTGTTTACAGCTTCCAGACCAGACCATGCTGGTTCAGAATTCTGATTAAATCCAACATATCTGGAAGACAGCAGATTGGAGAAAACTGTCCTAATGGCTTCAGACTAAAATAGTCTTGTACCTCAGGATCTATTACTGCTTTTTTCTATCTAGATCTAATTCTAGATCCACACAAACATGTATACCATTCACATATACATTTGCAAAATAGGAAAGATTCATTGGTACAAATAGTCCTTAACTTATAACCGCAATTGAACCTAAAATTTCTGTTGCCAAGGAACAAAGTGGTTAGGTACGTTTTGCCCCATTCTATGACCTTTCTTGCCACAGTTGTTAAGTGAACCAGTGCAGTTGTTAAGTTTGTAACGTGGTTGATAAATGAATCTGGCTTCTCCATTGACTTTGTTTGTCTGAAGGTCGCAAAAGGTGATCGCTTGTTCCTGGGACATCGCAACTGTCATAAATACATGCCTGCTACCAAGCATACGAATTTTGATCACATGACTACAGGGAATGCTGCAAAGGTTGTAAGTGTGAAAAATGGTCATAAGTGGCTTTTTTTCAGTGCTGTTGTAACTTCAAATGGTCACAAATGGTTGTAAGTCAAGGATTACCACTGTACCATACAGGGCGTAAGGTATTTTTACTTTCTTATATGCCTTTCCATTTCATCATTCAAATGACCCAGGACAATAAATGTGGAATTTATTTACTGAAGCACATTTCTATTTCAAGATAAAACATAGTTGGATCAGTTGGAAACTGATCAAAGAGAGAAGCAACCTGGAATTAAGGAGAAACTTCCTGACAGTGAGGACAATTAACCAGTGAGATTTTTAAGAAGAGACTAGAAGACCTCCAAGGTCCCTTCCAGCATTCCTATTCTATTCTATTCTATTCTATTCTATTCTATTCTATTCTATTCTATTCTATTCCTGATCAATAGCTCTTCTCTGAGGTAATGGTAGCCTTTTAAGTCAAGATCTTCATTGAGTAATTGTTCTATCTTATTCAAATAATGTCGTAGGAGTTCCAGATCTTACAGTCAAATATTTGCCATCTTTTCTTCTCTTTTCGTAAAGAAACAAAACCCAGCTAACTTTGGAATGGGTCTATGGAAAAATGGAGCAAAACTTTCCTATTCTCTTGACTGATTCACTGCCTCATTGGCAGAGAGAGGAAGCGTGATAATATAATAGGAATTCCCCAAAGGAGTGAAGTAATCAAGTAAGCCATAGTGATTTAAATTTAGCTTGAGATAACCCCCAATCATGCATATAGTTGAAATACATTTTCCATCAGATCTACTGGGGGATTAATAAAGATTTATTTTCTTTTTTTCTGAAATCACACTAATTTCTAAAGAGGCCCATGCCCAAGGCTATTTCAGTTCTCACAGCAGTTGCAGCCAAATTGGGGTGAGTATGGAAGTGAGGGTGGGGATAAAAATCATTACAGAAATAGGTGGGAAATTAGCTTCTGTCTGGACTCGTTCACTGTGTTGCTTTTTCCATAATTTTTTTTGGTTGAACCTCCAATGGAATGCATAGTTTCCTAAGAAGGCATATGGGGGGAAATGCAAGGTTGGGAATCCTATAGAGGAGATTATCTTGAAAAAGGGAACAGGATGTTATTACGAAAATATGAGGTTACCTCAGAAAGCCATGAGGGAGTGAGAGAAATTCTTACCTATAAGAGGGAAAAGAGGCTGTCAGGCTTTTAATAGTTGATTGTTATACAGATAGTCCTCAACCTATAACCACAACTGAGCCCAACATTTCTGTTGTTAAGCAAGACCGCTGTTAAGTGAGTTTTGCCCCATTTTACGATTTTTCTTGGCCCAGTTGTTAGTAACTCAGTTGTTAAGTGAACCTGGCTTCCCCATTGACTTTGCTTGTCAGAAGGTCACCAAAAATGATCACGTGACCCTGAGACACTGCGACCGTCATAAATATGAACTGGTTGCCAAGCATCCGAATTTTGATCACATGACCATGGGGGGGTTGCTTCAATGGTTGTACATGTGAAAAATGGTCATGTTACTTTTTTCAGTGCCGTGGCAACTTTGAACTGTCACTAAATGAATGGTTGTAAGTCGACTACCTGTACTTTATAACAAGAGAGTTCTAGTAGTTCAAATTACGATGAGTATTTTGTGTTCTGGACCATCTTAAAGGGCAGACAAAACCAAATGTTGCAACCTAGAAAAGATCATGGCTAAATGGCTACACCATTGCATGGGAGAACTCTACTTGGCAATATATCTGTCACATTTATAGTAATAGCAATAGTACTTAGATTTATATACCTCCCCAGAGTGCTTTACAGCCCTAAGTGGTTTTACAAAGTCCCCAGCAAGCTGGGTCCTCATTTTACCAATGTTGAAAGGATGGAAAGCTGAGTCAACCTTGAGCCAGTTAGGATCAAACTCCAGGCAGTGGGCAGAATCAGCCTACAATACTGCATTCTAACCACTATGCCACCAGGACTCATAGCTAAATGTGAAACTATTTGGGATATCTGTTCTAGCTTCCAAAAATCCCACACCTACTCTTTAATAATCACAATATACTTTTGACTTTTCTTTTTGTCTATACATGAAGACTGGAAAATTATCTTCAGTCCAAAAAGAAACTTAGGGTCCGCACAAACAAGCAATGCCCCATCTGCAGGATGCAGGCAGCACACAAAACCACACACCCTCCAGTCCGTGGAAAAATTCCTCTCCACAGAACCGGTCCCTGATGCCCAAATGGTTGGGGACTTCTGCTGTAAATACACCTTTATAATTATTGTCAGGTTTTATGGTTACTATTCTGAAAGGCAGCCATTTCAGACTTCACTCTTTAAAAAAAAAAGGGTCTATGTGAGCAGAAATTGTACAATGTTGTATTATTTTTAATTTTAAAATTTAATATAAAATGAAATGCTGCATGTCACTACAGGTAGTCCTTGAGTTATACTCACAATAAAACATAGAATTTCAGTCATATGTTTTTGCGATCGTAAGTCGAGGCTGAGTTCGATTTTGACTGTTTTTACAAAGGTCATAAAGAAAATCAGTGCAGTCATAAAGTGAATCATGTTGTCGATGAGAGAATAAAAAAGGCCAGAAACTGGCAAAAAGCATTGCAAATTGTAATCACAT